ATTAGGCCTGTAGTTAAGTTTTGGGAATCATTTTGAAATTTTTAGTGCTGTAAGATTATGTTTAAAGCACTAATAAAATAATATAATAATAATAATAATATTATAATAATCCAACAAATCATTAGAACAGGAAAACCACACTTCAAGGTTTGTGTGTTTGTGTGTGTTTAAACAAGTCTTTGTATCAGAAGCCCATTTTCTACAAAAACTGCACTAATCCATTATGGTATTAAAGTAAACTGTCGCTCTCACCAGTATTAAAGGTTAGAATAATTTCTGTACATGTAAAATTATTGCTTTTTTGAAAAATATATTTAGCATGCTCATTTTAATCATTTCCTGCCTTTACAAAATTTCACAATTAAAAAAAAACCTAGTAAAGCTTTTGCAAAAAATTTCACAGAACATTTTCATTCAAGGCAGCAGTAACTTTTGATAATGCATAAAATCATATGTGCAAAAATCTGAAACTCTCAGAAATATTACCATCACACATAGTGTCACGGCAATAGGAAAAGAAAATATTTATATCTGTAGAATACAATTTAAATTTGCGTACACTGCATGGTTTAAGATCCTTTGTTATGGGCCTTAACCCCCACCACCAAAACTTGCATTTGCATTACTGAGGAAGAGGTATATAAAGCCGTTTCCCACCCAAGGGCCTGGTGACCCCCACACTCAATAAATGAAGTTACTCATCCTGTGGAGGTCACTGGGCCCCAGGAGAAAAGACACCTACTTGCTGGGGTGGGGCAGGAGACAGGTGGGGCAGGGGAGGTGGAGAGCAGAAGGCTCCAGAGCATTAGTACCCTAGTGATCTAGGGCCCCCAAATCTGCTCAGGGATTCTTCCAACATTAATAAAACAGGCCCCAGTCGGGAGGATTCAGTGGCTAAGTAATTTGTTAAGACGCAAAGTCTTCCTTTGTGAGCAGTTTGCAGAATGTAGCCCTGTTACAAAAAGATCCTGAGAATAAACAAAGAAGCCTGCTCTTCTTAGTGTTCAACTAGCTCTCTTTTCCAAAGCAGAACATATACTTTCCCACAGACGTGTTTCCTCTGCCACACTCAGCACGGAGGGTGGAATGCAGGGCGAGTACACGGGAAATGCAATGGCCCCAAGGGTGATGGGGTCGAACCTGTGACTGATTAGGATCTTATCATCGCCCCTACTCCACTCTGATTTCCCCCAGCACCTGACTGCTACCTCCGTCCTCTCTTTATTATTTTAAATACCCACTAAGACAAGGAGAGGCAGTAGTGCTAATACTTCATCAACCTCAGACCATCACTGTTCTGACATCACCACGGCAGTCTTTCTGAGCACAGGAGCTCCTCCTACAGTGCTGAGCTTCTCCGCTCCATTCAACACACACAAGTATCTTTGTTCCAGTGTCTCGAATTTGTCTTGAATAACACAGATGCCTCGAGCTCCCACTGTGCCTGCCAGTACCACTGCTTATGGTAAGAAAATATGGGCTCCACTTGGAAAGCACATGTGGGATCTACAGGGAATCACAGGCACAGCGCTGTTGCTGCTCTAAACGTCTAGTGGGGAGAGGCATCTCCCTCAGTCTCCACTCCAGGGCAGCAGCTCAGCGGTCTGAGGCATCGAGCAGGAGACCTGCAGTTCTTCCTCCTCGAGGCGGTCATAGGGCGGGGAGGCTGCCGGGACATCTGTGCGGACACTGCCACGGCCATCGCAGGGTGCCCAGGGTGCTGGAGCGAGTCTCTAGGTTCCCTTTCTGAGGGGCACTGTCTGCACAGTCCCTGTGTTAGCATGGTCTCTCCCCTGCACGAAAAAGGAGAAAACAACAGAAAGTCTCAGTTCTGCCTTTTGGTTCCAAAGTGTTTTTTCCTATTAATTTTCTTATCAATACCAGTACCAGTGACAGCAACCTTACTGAAGCCAAGTGGCCAAGGAGGCTAAGATTTCCTAGCTTCAGAAGTAGCTCATTTTAAACAAGTATCAAGTATTTTCAATTTGCCCTTCTGCCATTCACAGAGGCATCTTTAGAAAATCATTTTCAGTGACTCATAAAGGATCATTTAGACCTCTCCTGCTGTTTCGCACAAACGAACAACACAGTGTAGTGTCTGAATTGGCTCTGAAGGAAAGGCAAGATGGCAAGGTGGGTTGGGGAGAAGATAAATAAAGCAAAAATCTGCGTTACAGAGTGAAGGGTAGTTCCAAGACACGATTGGGCCTGGGGCCACGCTCACAGAAAGAAAAGCACAGCTCTCCTAGATGCCATCAGAAGCGGTGGGGGGGTGCTATCCCCAATTTCCATAAATAATTACCATGTTGTGAAAACAGAAGGGATCTTCTAAAGTCAAACGAACTGTAGGATAAAAACAAGAACGAATGGGAGCCTGCAGCTTTTAGAGAGTGCTCTCGAGTGACATTTGAAGCATCACTGTTTGAACAATGGCGTTTACCATCTGAGGACAAAAACCAACATGGCAAGATTAATCTTACTTAACTGCATTAACCTTCGGCTAAAATCTTGATGAAGTGAACTGACCACATGAAATTAACATACGTACATAAACTGCAGCGTTCATGGAAAATTCTGGTTTCCAGCTATGCCTATGGAAACTCTAGAAATAACAGGCCAGGGGTCTGGTTGACATCATGAATTAAGTGCTTCTATTTAGCTAATAGTTGTAGAAAACTCCCATTTAAAGTGGCCTCTGCATTCATAGCACCTACTAGCCAACAAATAGGAGAAATCAGGAAGATACGCAGCAAAATGTTTTGAGGGTTTATATGGTGGATGCAGTGGTGCAGACCGCAGTGTATTTGAAATGTAGGAAACAGTAACCGAATGAGAAATGTGATAAAACTTCCTTAAGTAGATGGTGAATTTCCTGCAGTGGATCGAGAAAGATGTTTCACATTTTTGCACAGCAACATTCCACCAGGGAGAGATCTTGGGGACTCCGACGAAGGTATTCAGCAGCAGCAGGCCTCAGAGATACCCGGTGCTCGGCATATTCACGAAGGAAAGCAACCTGTGTGTCTACCCAGAGCAAAATGGGTGATGTTGCCTGTTAGCTGCTGGATGCTTGGGCTGGAATGTTGCTTGGAAGCCTGGTACACAGCACCTTGATCTGCAGTAACTCCATGAAGGGGAGAGCACGGGTGTGAACACTGGTATAGTGTGCATCGGACCCTACTGGCCACAGCCTCAGGACACAGCGACTTGCAACTTCCTGATCTGGACCGCACACACAGCCTTGCACAGGCACTGGAAAAGTACAGTGGATGAGCAGCAGCCACCACAGCAGAGGTGACAAAAGATGGCCCTCTCTCCACGAAGGGTTGACGTTTTAAATCACAGCGTTCAGAAAACTTTAAAAATACTTACTCTACAACTACAAAGCCTGGGTACCTGGAACAAGGTCACTAAATTTTGTCCATAAACCCAGATGCACAGGTTCCAGTTTTCTCTTTATAAATGAAGAGTTATGTTCACATGTCTCATTTTTTGAATAGTTTGAAATGATTAATTCATTGGGACCACCATTTTATTATTCAATGCAGCAGCCCTACAGGACTTTTAAGAAATTAAAGAAATATGTCAGAAAGAAGGCCCACATTTAATGGTCCCGCTATAATACCTTCAGCCATGGAAGTTGGGTTTTTTCCTTCCTACAAGGAAAACAGCAGGTAGGAAATGGCGGGCACCCTTTTAGTAATTCAGCTTTTCTTCTTTGCAGCCTTAAACTGTGGGCTTTTCAGTAGTGATGTTGAAAGAAATATTGTCTTTCTTTAGGCCGTTTCAGCCTTCTAAGAAAGGGCATTGACATCTACAACTTTACTGTTTTGAACAGAGCCCCCACGTGTAGTTCCGGCTGGGCTTGAACTCACAGCAGTCCTCCTTCCTCAGCCTCCCTACTACTGGGATTACAGGTGTGCCCCACCAGACTTCGCTGACATCTACGACTCTGTGAGGTCAAATTTTCCCCTTTTTATTAATAAGGCAAGGGAACATATCTGTGTCACAGGAGTGAATGAATCTCGCATCTACAAACAGGCCCCAAATGCCCCGAACACCCAAGAAAACCCTCAGCCCTCTGTGAGAGGCCAGCCTATGGAGGAAGAAGGCTTGTGTCCAGTATGAGGGCAGGGCCTCAGTGCTTCCCAACAAACTGTGCTTGGGCCTTGGAGATCCTGACCTTCACCTAACAAGCTGCTGGTCGGCAGGGAGCAGGGGCATAGGGGCGCAGGTAGCTCTGTAAATCAGTAGTTGTTTTAGGGATGAATTTGGTAGGGTGCTAGGAGAAAATGGATAGCCATGTTCTAAGATGTTTGTTTCATTTTATGAGTTTTATGAGTTTAAAAAAGCTTAAACAAATGAACTGCATTTTGAAATTTAGTATGATATAAGAATCTAAAAGTGATACAAGAAAGTATATATACATTCAAATACACCACCTCTGTGATTCCCCATCATTTGTATTATAATATTCATAGCTACAAATGAGACAAATTAGGCTGCCATTTATTTACTTACTTCCTGTTATTTTGATTAATGGAATTATTTCCCTAGCTTAACTATTTTAAAATAACAGAATAACAAGATATAAACTATTAATCATAGTATTTAAATTTTGGCAAGTAATACAAACAAATCAGAATACCAGGTTTCACATTTCTACAATCAGCCTTGTCATTTAAATCCCAAAACTATGTGGGAGATGTCTTGGTTTCAAAAGCTATTTTAATTTCTTATGTTTCACAATAATATAACATAATAATCAAGTAATTTCTGCACAACACTAAACGAACCTCCCAAATTTTACTTTAACTTCCACAGCTCAACACCCACACTGCAGCATATCTTTTTCAAAAAGCCTGCCTTCTGATGACGAATGCTGATGACTTCCGCAACCAGAACATTTACTCAACCATGCCAATATATGAAAAAGCATCTTAGCTGGGCACGATAATGCACACCTATAAACAATCCCAGCAATCTGGAAAGCTGAGGCAGAAGGATCTCAAGTTCTAAGCCCAGTGGGACAGGTACAATCTCTAGCACAAAAGGAAAGCAGCAGCAGCATCTTTGAAGTAACAGTATGTATGCATGAACACCTCCTCTCACTGAGAATTCGGTTTGAAATAATGTGGGGAACATGTCTGGGATTGTCTTTCACAAACACAGAGCGGCACCAGTGGTGAGGTTTCATTCCCGAAGCTGTGCCGACCCCTACACACTGCTCACATCCTTTTACATGTTTCTAGTTTTGTTTCTGTAATAAATGCAAAAGGATAAGATATCCAGACAACAGACACTGTGACCTCTTGGCACCTCTGTTACTTAGCCTGTGTCTGTCACTATGAGACTGTACCCAAGGCCTTCTTGCTGGACTTGGAACTTTAGACCCTCCTGCCACCCTTTCCGCATTGGTAGCCTACTGGATGGACAAGTTCCCGAAGGACAGCCTGACTGCCATGTTCCTGAAGTCCCTTGGGAGCTTGTGCGTCACACATCTGTGACTCAGAAGGGAATTCACAGAGGAAAGTACACAGAGAAAGGTGCTACCAAGGCACAGCAAAGGAAAGTATCTCACTTCTCAGAGTTCACCTGTGTGCCAGTGAGACCCTCTATTCTGACTACAGACTTCATGCAGTTTAGTGGACCTCATACCTGCTGAATTGTTTCACTGGAATCTATGCTACATTATGATTTCTTAAAATTATCCGGGATAGGAAACCTAAACACTAGCCAGGTGTGGTGGTGTACACCTGTAATCCCAGCACTCGAGAGGCTAAGGCAAGAGGATCATTTCGAGTCTGAGGCCAGCCTGGGCTACAAAGTGAGCTCAAGGCCAGCCTGAACTGCATAGTGAGATCCTGTCTCAAAAAGACAAAAAAACAAACAAACAAAGAAAACCTCAACACAAATATGGCAAAATCAGGGCAGCTGCTGGGTGGCTGAATATATAAAACCCAAGCTATCTGCCCCCCAACTGGAGGCCTTCTCAGCAGAGAATGGCCAGAAGGAAACTGTTCACAACACTCTTCTCAGACTGAGACTTCCTACGTCTTCCCTTTAATAGGCAGTGACAGCTAGTCTCCTACACAACACAAAGCCAGGCCACGTACAAGTACGCCGAGGCCCACACAGTCACACTTGGGGAGTTTCCACTGCTGGTCAGGAAAGCACTCAGTTTTAGCCTCACACATGTCTTGTACCAGGCAGGTGCATCTGCTGGTTTAATTCCCACACCAAGTGTGTGTCACACTGCACAAGTGAACTCGGGGCAGGAACCTGACGAGGGAGAAACCCGAGCAGAGCCTTCTACTCAAGACCCAGCGTCTTAGTAATTTACATGATTCATTCTCATTCTCTTGGGGCAGAATTTGCTAATTGTGAATATATTTAATGTTGACAGCTTTTAAACAGAAAAGGCCTCTCCCAGGATGCCTCCTCCACCCCTACCCCATCCACCACCACTTGTGGGTCATTCCTATCTGCATCCCCAAGTGGCTTCTCAAGTTACTCACAAAACCGGGCTCCCCTACTCCTCCGTTCAGACCCAGGGCAGGGACCCTCCCCTTTGGACCAGGTGCTTCAAGCCAGGAACCAGAGTCAGCCCAACCCCTTCTCTTCCCTACATTTGACCTGCAGACCCTATAACCCATCTCCTCCCAAGCACCTCTCAAACACACCCATTCTCCTCCAGCCCCACCAAGGCCCTCCAGGCCTCCAAAGCACCACTCAACCATCTGCCTGGAACCTCCACACATCCAATCTTGAGTCTGAAACTGCACAGATCACCTGAGTTAGGACTGCATCAAGTTCCTACTGTTTCCTTGTCTAATGCACCTCTGGGACCTTAAGAACCAGAGGAGTAGGGAAAATGTGTATCTTGTCTCCCCTGTATCCTGCACAGGGTCTGAGAGATAGTGGGCATCCAATAAATACTGTTAATAACTGAATAAGTGATTATAAATGCTAATTAAAAAACAATTTTCAAATATTATTTCATTTAAATAATTTAGCCTCTCTTATGTGTATTTATAAAAGTCCATCAACTCTTAAGTGTCACATCAAATAATTTCTGCATGAATACAGTGTCGTATGATCCAAAAGAAAGCCTACATCCACAACTTCTAAAGCCTGCAGAAAAAGAATCTCATTTAAATATTAATTAGTTAATGTTACTAAGGCACTCTACACATTAAACATTAAAAACATGGATGATAAACATAATGAGGAACACTCTAGACTTAAATAACTACAGGAAGTAGTTCTACAAATCTGTAACATACCCTAAATTTAATAATTCAATTGTGATTTTTTGGTAAATAATAAGAACCACTGGGTAAGAAATGAGAACCCTAAAATTTAAAACTCTACTTTTTATTGATGTGATTTTCAATTTTCTGGCCAACAGATCTCCATGGGAATTGTTAAAGAATGGTAAGGAAGATGGATTTTCTTTAAAGACCTAGAATGTTCAGTAACAAACAAAAGCTACTTTCAAGGTTACAAAGAACAAAAGGTGCTATGAGAGGACAAGACCTCAAATGTAGAATTAAAGCAACTACAGTGGCTGCTGTAAGACAGGTGTGTCCATCAAGCCTAGGCTCACCACCGGTCTGAACCCCCACTGCAGATCAAGGGAAAAGAAAGCTGTCTGCTGCACTCTCACACCCAGAGCGCAAGTGTGCGTCAGGGCAGGGTGTACACAAACCACCCCCATAGCACTGCGTTACACAAACCTGACACCAGGGGGTCAATGAGGGTAATACAACAGCACATAAGTTTACTCAGATAAAGACACTGCACAAACACATTCTCGTCAGAAGCAAGAGTTAGTAAAATTATAATTCACCAGCACAACCGTAACACAACAATTTCAACTATGATCCACTGACTTGCAGTTCTGATCTCTATTTCTCCCTATGATGGATGCATCTAAAGAGGCTTAGGTACAATTATTAATCAGCCAATCCATCCGCTGAAGAGTTCCTGAAGAGTCTGGTATTCACGTATCTGCCTGGTGCTTTCTGGCTCTGTCAAACACGCTTATGCAGAGCCAGGTGTGGGGCCAAGGATGCAGCTCAGTGGTATAGCACTTGCCTGGTAAATATGAGGCCCTGAGTTCAAGTGCCAGTACGGAGGGTGGGGCAGGTCTTGGTGGGTTTAATGGTCCCTGTGTAACAGAACACTCTGGATTCACTCCAGTTGTGTAACTGTCCAATTATAGCACCCTGTGCTGTTCCATCCCACACATGTTCCAGTGGCTCTTGTGTGGTAAGAAGGTTTTACTGGTATTAAAAAGATGGTGACAGGGGCCAGGAACACAGCTCAGTGGCACAGCACCTTGCCTGGTAAGTGCAAGGTCCTGAGTTCAATTCCCAGTACAGGGCAAAAAAAAGATGTTGACAGCTAATTCAAGATGAGGTCCTATGTGTTTGGAAATCTTTTAATTTGGTATCCAGTAAAGAGTTACATTTACTTCATAAATTATCACAGCAACATGGCATAACTCCTTTACATTTCAAAACAATGGATTTTATTGAGAGAGAAGCCACAAAAAGTTGTCATAAGCCAGGCACAGTGGTGCACACCCATAATTCCAGCACTCTGGGAGACCCTCTCTCAAAATAAAAGATAAAAAAGGCTGGAGATGTAGCCACTGTGAAATCCCTGTTACACCCCAGTACTGGCAGACAAAACCCTGTCATAAGTGGCAGGATATCTTCTCAATAATATAGGAAGTGAAGGCCTTGACGAACAATTACCAAACCTCAGCACATGACAACAAATAGAAACCCTAAAAATTCAATGAAAGAAACAGGAAATGCAGTGATGAAATCCCTGACAAGGTAACACCAGCTCTGAACACAGCCCTGGGCAAAGCTGTGTCTTACCTTTTCCTTGAGTGAAAAAACTAGAATGATGCTCAAGTCTCCCTGAGGTCTCACTAGACCAAGGTGACTCTTGAACTGCCACCACTGTCAGACCATCCAGGGGCTGGTCAGGAGCGGGAGTTCTAACCTGATTCCACCACCCGGGCAGGACTTGGGACCTTGCTCTTCTCTGGGAGGAGAAAGCAAGCAGTCGCAGACCACTCTAGGGCAAGGGTGAGAGGGCCAGAATACTGCGTGGAGAACTTGTGCACGAAAACAAGACCACAGGAGGGACGAGAGGGGGAGGAACACCAAAGCCATATGCTCCCAGCCAGGATGACAGGGAGGCAACCTTCAAGGGGCTGCGGTATCCACCTCAGAGAAATGTCCCACCCCCCCACATGTCTCGAGGCTGCCCAATTCTGTGCGTCCTGAATGGCTTATGCGTGAAATCCACACACCTACGGCAATATGCATCATGCACAGAACAGAAAGTGGACCCCACAGAACCTGTTCACGTGGGTATTTCAACGCACAACATCATGCCAACAGTGTCAAGACATGGCAAAGCAAAGCACAAGGCCACGAAACACAACTCTGAACACAACACATTTCTCAGGGAAAAACACAAAAATAATGTTCTGCAAGAAGGCCAAAAATAATTTATTCTAAGGCAAACTTAGACCCAAAACATCCTGGGAAGAAAATATAAAAATTTTTAGGGCTTTCAGTTACCACCGCTCTCTACCAATCCCCTTATTCCAGCATCACCAAAAGCCAGGTAGGTGCCCCTGACCTTGTAACTCAGTCAAGATGGCCTTCAATGCTCACCAGCTACCCAGACTGCCCTGATGGGGCAGGTTCTGTATCAAGACTATGCAGAGTTATTGCTGTGCACATCTAGAAAAAACACATCTGCTATTCAGTGAGGAACACCACTCTTTCCAGCCAGCACACTGAGACCCGGACGGCAAAGCACTCACGGGACCTACTTGTTTGGGGGCATCCGTGGAGGCTGTGTGAACTTCGGAACCTCGAGGACCGTCACACTCAAACACCACTGTGGGAACAAGCGGTCTGTTAGCAGGTGACAGGCGACACTCCTGAGTGTGCACGCTACATGAGTTCATTACAGATTAAGCACTTTCGCAAAACAGACACCAATGCCTCGCCTGTGGCCGGAAAATACCAATTTACCGTAACACTTACAGTAAGAGACTGGGATAATGGCTGCCTGGGGCCACTGCCCTTTTTAATTCAGACTCCACCGCTGAAGAAGCAATCACTGACAACATTAATTATCAGCGTGTGTGTAAAGGGACCTCTTCCTGCATTACTTACCATTTGGCCAGTGTCATTCTGCATCAGGCTGGCTTCTGGTGTGTCCTTCACACTTCGGAGGAAGAGCGCCTGTCTCCTGTCTCTCTAGCGCTCCTGCCCTATCTTGACACACAGCCTGATCTGGTCTTCAGGCACTCGTTACGGAGGGCTGAGGGTTCTGTGAGACACCACTGACCATCGAAAGTTGTAAGATGTGTCCACAGTCCTGTGCTGTCCATCAGGATATAACCGAGCCGTACAGCAGGCGGGAAGGGTGCTCTGATTTCCATTTGTGCTCGTGGCAATAGAATTCATTAGCATATTCATTTCTGAAGAGTCTACTCTAATTAAAATGGAACATTTGCAAACAGGCTTATCTCAAATTAAACCACATGGCACTTGGATGCCAAAAAGAAAAAGAAAATTTCAGGTGTTGAGCAGGGGACCATGGCACTAAATTCAGAGGCCGACAGCACTGTCACCAGACAAGGGATGAAATCTAAATGTGTCCACAATGTGGACAATGTAATGACTGGCAGAAAAGACCCCCCATCCCAGCCTCCACTCGGCTGGGCCACACATGCCCCTGGGGTGTGATACCTGTGTGCACTCGCATGTGGGCCCTGAGGTGGCTGGGCTGGTGGAAGCTCTTCCCACACTCCACGCAGACGAAGTCTCCTGGGCGGGCCTGTGTCCGGAGTGTCCCTGCCGTGGTGTGGTGTGGCGTGGTCATGATGGGATTGGGGTGGCGGTGCAGAGTGGGAGGCAGGGGAGGGGGAGAGGAAAATATCATTAGTATACCTTAAGTATCAGCATGGGAGGCCACCTCTAAGGCCTAGTGACAGCTGTCAGCCATTGTCTTGGCTCGGCTGACGGCCAGGCATGGCAGGACTGCGAGGGTACATAAATTATAGTAAATTAAAACCTGCTCTCAGGACAGCACAGAGACAGGGAGGTGCCACCTCTGCGAGGCAGCACACAGCTCCAGGCAGCTGGATGCAGCCCAGCCGTCACCCAGCTCTGTCAAGCAGCACATTGAGCAAACTTGAGTGACGATGGTGTGACAGAGACAAGGCACATGGATAACAGGAAGTGACTGGGGCCAGAGCCCACCCGCACCCCAGCTGTGATCCCAGGAGACTGATGCAGGCCAAATGCAGCCATCAGCAAGACTGGGACCGTCTGGGCCTCCCACCTGCCTGCCTCCAGCACAGAGGAAACTTGGGGCTCAGTGAGCTAGCAACCAACAGGCAGCACGCCCTGGCCAGCGCATGTGTTCAGTCATGAGAAGTGGTAGAAAACACCAAAACCCCCTTTTCCCAAGACCACACAACCAGACTGCACTGAAGCTCTGAGCCCCCACGTTCCTTCTGATCCCTGTCCACAGATCAGGCTTTTATTCAGAAGGGGACACAGAAGGTGAGCTCTACTTGTCTGCATGCCTTCCTGTCTCAAGGCATTTTCCCTAAGAAAACAAACGGCCCACTTCCCATGGAAGGGTAGCTCCAAAGAAAACTCCCTGGGTCTATTGTCACCAGCATGCTCAGTGGTACCTCAGCTCAATGGGCAGGAAAGCAAACACAAATATTATCTAGAATATGTTACGCCTGTAGCAATAACTTTAAAAAAAAAACATGTTTCCTTTAGCTGTCTCTACTGTCTGACATTTAAATATAAGGCAAATGCAAAAGATGACAAAAGGACACTTTGGTCAAACTGGTGAAAAGCAAATCTTCACTGTTCCTTTTCTTGCCCTAAATCAAAGTGGGCTCAACATAAAAATACTATAAAATCACCTTGCATTATAGATCATGTTTATGGAAATCAAAGAAACGCCTGGACTGTGAAGCAGATCTTGTTTAATTTATTTGACAGATCATGAAAATAAGCCTTGGAGAAAACTGAGAATCTGCCCACTATGCACCTGATTTCCCACTGCCTTACTCAGGATCTCTCTCTCTCTCTCTCTCACACACACACACACACACACACACACACACACACAGAGTAACAAAAATTTTAATGCTCGCTCTACCAACGAGAAGCCACTGATAAATGTTAACAGGCGCTCCATGCACAAACTGTGACGATAACCCCATGGGAATGACCTCAGGTGCCCTGAAGGACCCATAAGACTATTACTTCACAGGTCTTCTTTCTAAGATTTTTAGCCTAGGTAATGATGTTTTGGATATGGCTCCATCAGCACAGGCAATAAAAACTAAAACAGACAAATGGGACTGCATCAAAGCAGAAAGCAAGCAAGGAGAGTCAACAGAGTGAAGTGACAGCCCAGAGAAGGACAGAAAGTTTGCAAATCATATACCTGGTATGCAGCAAACATGCACAATGCACACAGAGCTAACCCTTATCCAAGTATCACGGGAGGAAGGAAAAGCAGGGGGAGCTCCCTCAACCACCTGAGAAGCCACACCCACCGCGAGGACACGGTGCTCAGTCAGAGCTCTTGGTTTCTACTGCAGAAAAACTTTGCTTCGGTTGGCTTCTGTCACACAGCCAACACTTAACCTTTCTGAATGGAAAAGCTTTCTTTTCTCTTACTGTGATATAGGAAAATTTCAACTTGAAAAGTAACTGTGTTCCCCAGTTTCATTATCGGCTAGCCAGTCAAAAAACAGTGTTGGACAATTACTCTGGATGTCTGGATTTCCTAGGTACCATCTGGACAATGAACTCCAACTCTACTTATACAAGACACCTACTGATGGTAAACAATGTCGTTTGTGTCCCACAGTCACAACCTCTAAAAACTAACATTCTTTTACTAAGCACCATTTTAGCTGACTGTTTTCTATCCAAAGTAGCAACAGAAAAATCATAGTATCTCTACTCTTCTGCTCTTGAGTATACATATGTGTGTGCAGGCACGCTCACACACACAAACACACACACAAGTGCACACACGGTATTTTTATGTATCTTACCATATCACTTTCTCTTTTTTTTTCTCTTCACTTTTTAAATAAAGTATACTTGCCCTTTACAGTCAACAATTTCATGCCTGAGCTCCTCTAAAATTCTGAGTTAATCAAAAGGTTATAAACTTAATTTGAATTGAAGACTACCTGGTGAGCAAACAGCTCAAACATGCTAACCTGGAAACGTAAGGTAGAGACAAAGAGGCCTTAAAATGAAAGAAAAAGACCTGACCATCCTCAGAGAGCTGTAAGTGGCGTTAAAGTGTTCTGTTTTGTCACACTGTATGTAACATGTCATCAATAAGGGGAACAAGGAGATCAGAAAGATTCTCCAAAAAAATACAATTGCTCGGACAATCACACACTTTCTTCATGGCTACATCAATGTACCCTTGATATAAATAAATGACTTTCTGAAAGTTCCAATCAGAAAGACCTAATGTATTATTTTATCTAGAACTATGTCATCTCATTATCTTAAATATTTTATCCTAAAATTCACATTATCATGTAATATAGACAAGGCCACAAAGTCTGAAGACACAGATAACTTATTATTTTAGTACTATTGGATCAGTATTCCACTTATGTTATACTCACATGTTTCCAGACTTGCTAGTCACACTAGAAAGATTACAGGAAACATAATGGTATTTGCTCTTAAAGGGTTCATCCGTGAGCAAGGGGGCAACCACAGCCGTGTCCTCCAATGCTGGCCAGGCTTTCCAGATGCTGCACTCCAGAAACATCATCCAGGCAGACCTGGGGGAACAAGTCTGACAAGCAGCTTTCCTAACTTCTGAATAAAGCCTGGTGCTCAGGACAGCACTGAACCATGAGTTCTCTGCAAAGGTGGACAGTCACATCTGTAGCAGCCATAGCTATTGGCACGTGAAAGAAATGGCCTTCTGTCCCTCTACAGGACTCCACTGCACATTTCTGCCTCTGCTAACTCAGGATGACAGGAAAGCTCTACATTTAGCCAGTGCCCTATCTAGAGAAGTTATGACCTTTAGATCTGCAGGTGACACCAGCTAGGAGATACACTGCAAATGCGTCAGATGACAGGATAAAGATCCAAAATGTGTTGCTCATTTGTATCCTAAGGCAGAAAGATTCATTTGACAAAGGGTGAACAAAATAAGCATGGAGATGCATACACAAAAACAAACCATGTCTACACACAGAAAAAATGAATGCACCACAGAAGCAAGTAAAAAAACAAAACCTCAGAGGTTTGGTTTCTAATTGATTCAGGAACACGTCCACGATGCACGTGCTTTGGCCACACGTGTTTCCAAAGTCACACAACAGCCGCAGGCTCGCTCTAATAGGAAACATCCATATTCGCTAACCTCACAAATGGTCAGGCCATGCTAAGCCTGCTGCACTTCCACCCTGCCAAAGCACCTTAGAAGCTTTGTAAATTAACACTCAAACACAGAGAAACGAAAGACCAGGCTCTGACCCAGGAAAGGATGCTGGATGCCGAGACTGTCAGAGACATTCTCTCAGCTCACTGTGAGCAGCCCACAGAGACACGACCAACGGAAGTCCAAAGCTAACATCACCTGACAGTGGCAAGTCCTTCCCCACTGGGGCCTTCGACCTGAAACCAGCTGACTCTTCTCAGCACACTGGTCAGTGGCTTAGATACTCTCAAGTTCCTCTCTAAGCCTGGGGAGCTAGGATCCTAAAAATGCACTTATTAGTAGTATATTTCAAGATCAAAAAGCCTGAAACACTCCTCTTAAGAATCCCCAAGCACAGTGAACTTGAAGATCATACATTGACTGACTTACATGTTATCGTGTTCAAATGTGGACATCAGAATAAATAATCTGAGAAGAGCGCATCTGTTTTATGGACTATGAGTATTTTTAACACTGGAAAAATACAAATATTTAATCTCTAGCCTCACAAAACATCCTTAGAACAATTCATTTAAAAACTTTTTTTAAGGAAAAGGCAATAAAATATTTCAGCCTATTTTTCTATTTCAAATTCTGTCATCTGAGATTCTCAAAACATAAAGCTCACTTCTACCTTCTTACAAAAGCAGCAGTTACTACCCAGGTCCTCAGGGCAACACAAGGCCTCTCCCAATGCAGCCAACTCACCCTCATGTACGAGGGCACACTGGCACACGTCATGGAGCCAGGACCAGGTAAATAATTAAGTGACAAGGCCAGCTCACTTTGTGACAATCCTTAAAACCCGCACCTACATCTAGTGTAGGTCAGGAACAACAAGACAGGAAGCTGAGGAAATGCCAAGAACCAGGGTCCACCACAGGCATCTGTGCCATGGTTCTTGGGAAACCCAAACCTGAAGATCTGAGGTGGCTCCCGTCCCAGGGCCCACACACATGGGAATGCCCTTGACAGCAACAACCTGCAGGACTACAAAACACAGCAGAGCCCGAAGAACCCAATGGTAGAACCAAAGTGAGAGAAGATGTGCAGAACACATGATAGCTGTCTCCTGCCTGTCTGTGAGAAGCTGCAGAGGACCCTCACACACAGCACACTCCAGAGGGGAATGACACTCCCAAGGCTGACACTGGGTCCTGGGCCACTCCTACAGCAGCTCAGCACCCTCTGCACATTCAGCCTGTGCTTGGTAGACAGCTCTCGAGCACACACAGCATCTTCACGTGGGAACAGAGGCCGGGCGCATGCCTGACATCCCAGCGTCCAGGGAGGCTAAAGCAGGAGGAGCAAAGTTCTAGTCCCACCTGGGCAACTGAGTGGGAGCACATATGTTAGGGTTTGTGTCTGGATGTTCCCCCAAAGCCTCATGCAATCATGGGGCAGGCTTCTAGAGCTTATGATTGATCCATGGTCCAATGCTGTGTTTATGGGTGTGAACGCTACACCAGCCTTGGGGCAGGTAGTTTGCTTACAGTGTAAGGGAGGGAAACGGGGGGCTTGCCACTACTCCTCCCTTTTGCTCTTGTTGCTTTTGCTGTCTTCCGTTGCCTTGAACTGTTGTCCTCTGCCATGTGCCACTGTGCCTTGGAGCCAGCCGAGTATGGACTGAAACCTCCACAGACTGTGAGCTAAATAAACCTTTCCTTCCTTGATTCTGGATGTCAGGTACTTTGTCTCAGCAACAAGAGAAAAGTAACTAAGACAACATATTAAAGTAAGACTACACATAAGGGCTGGGGATGTAGGTCAGTAGTAGTGTGCCCATGGGTTCAATCCCCCAGTACTGCACAGAATAAAACAAAACCAGGCAGATAGGACACCTCACTCAGGTCTTCACTGCAGACCCAGAGGAATGGAGAGTACCTTGGAGTCCTCCACTGAAAACACCTTCAGACGAGCCTCCCTGGAAGCAGGTACAGACCCAAGGTGCCACTCCATTCCTTGCTGGCTGTTGCATGCCTGGGAATCTAGCTGGAACCACCTCTGGCCACTGGGCAGCATCATATCATGAGCTGTGGGGAGGGGTCCCCCAGGCCTGGACCACCTCCCCCAACACAGCTTCCAACTTGCTGGATTCTGAGGCCCTGAGTCTCCCAGGCTATTTCAATGGTGACCTCCTTTAAGGAACTATAGGGTCATGGCAGATAATACTGTTCAGAGAAGGGTTAGGACTACCCAAGCAACAAACCAAGAGACTAAGTCCCACAGTGGGGTTCACCTGTTCTACTTTCCAACTGGACCTATAGTTCCCAGTGTTCCATGTGTTTAAAGAACAAGGGCATCGTACCCAAGGCATATATCCAGTAAGGCACGAGGAAAACCACTGGCACTTCCCTATCAATACTGGGCAAGCATCCTTAATCCAAAATCCAAACTCCTCCAAAATGCAAAACTGTTCAAGTCCTTACATGACATCACAAGTAGCAAATTCCACACCTGACATCTGATGGTTCCAAAGTAGCACATTCCACACCTGACATCTGATGGTTCCAATAAGTTTGTCTTTCATGCACAAACTTATTAAAATCCCTGTGTAATCTTCCAGCTATGGGACTATGAAACATAAATGAATTTTAATTTTAGACTTAGGTCTTATTCCCAAGGTATCTCATTACATATGAAAATACTGCAAAATCTAAGATTCCAAAAGCCAAACTCCTGTTTTCCAGTAGTTTACATAAGAAACTCAACCAGCATTACTATGAGTTATCAATACAGGAGCATGGGAGGAATTGAAGCCATGGTATGGAGGATTTTTCAGGAATCTCAGCACAATTCAGTTCTCCTGAGTTCACAAGAGAGCTGCATCCTCTGCAAGGCTTTGCTAACTAATGCTAGAGTATGTCCAGGTATGTTTCAAATCATTTATGCATAAAAAGACGACAATCACTTCAAATTCTTCTTTTTTGAGCAACAAAGAAAAGGAACACCTACCAGTGCTTTGTTTAAAATAAAAAAAACATGAAAATGCAACCAAGCCTGCCTGTTCCCATCAACTACTGGTGTGCAGGAAACATCACTGGGTTTCCCAGGTATCACCAGCAGAAAGGACATGTGTTCAGACACTGCTGGCCCAAGCACACGGTCCCCAGAGGGCAGCGTTTCAGGGTCAAGCGCCTGGCAGCCAGGGCAAAGGAAGACAGCAGCTGTGCTGTGAGAGGAAAGGTCTTATGACTGCCCTTAGGGATTCCTGGCAGGCAGGGGGGCACCTATGCCCTTCCTGAGGAGCTCCGGAGTGGCCGAGGAGAAGGAAGCCCACACATCTTACCTCTGTGCTCTGGCCCAGGACTGTTGACACCCCAGCCCTGGTAGAGTGTAGCGAAGTCCTTTGGAATGTATGTCTTGAAGATGTTGAGGATGTCCAAGCGCTTCTCATGGCCCTCAGTCACTGGCTCCTGCTTGATGGAGTGTAAGATGGGGGTACCAGCCATCCCAGGCTGGGCCTGCAGTGCTGCATCACCTCTGGACCCCGCAGCACAGGCGGCCAGCGTCCTCAGCTCCTGGGCCGCCTTCGACGGGGGCTCACGAGGAGGTAGGGGTGGGCTCCCTTCACCTTTCGCAGGAGGCTGACCCTGAGGCTGAGGGCTGAATTTGGCTTTCAGGGAGTCTGGGGCACTGTGCTTACTTGGAGGGGCAAAGCCAGCCCCCACTGACGGGATCCCAAAATTCTCCACTGTCTTGCTGCTGGCCAAGGGCTGGGCACCCACCCGGGTTATGACAGAGGGCGTGGGAGTGGCACTCCTGCCAAGGCCTCCACTGCCCGGGGCAGGTACTGGCTTGGAGCTGGCCTCCAGTTTGGGTTTGGCCAGGGGCCCCTGTACTGAAGCACTCGAGGGCTCCTGGCCTTGGCTGGGCTTTGTCTGTCGATACCCATCGGGGCCAGCTGCCCACAGTGCACAGGGGCCTATGGAATGGCTCTCCTTATTCTTAGGCATGCTAGCCGCTTTCGTGGTCACTCCCAGGGGAGAAGAACTGCCTCTGGGTCCAGGTACCCCGCCTGGCACTTGAGTGCGGGTGAAGCGAGCGAGGAGCAGGGGTTGGCACTCTTTGCCCCCGAGGGCAGGCGGAGGTCCTGTTCTTCCACTCCGGGCAAGATACACCAAGTTGCTCCTTACGCTCTTGTAGCCATTGGGCTGAGTCCATTGGGGGGCCATGGAGCTGCAGCTGACCCTGTGCCAGATGCGCTTGTGCATCCATAAGACCTCTGGGTAGTAGGTCTTGTGGTTACAGTAAGGACATGGGTGAATGACCAGAGCAGCTTGCAGAGAAGAGGCCGCTTCCTTATTGCTGGAGTCATCCCGGGTCGACCTTGCACTTAAATCGAGAGGGACCAGGTCTGGGGCCAGTACACTTCTTCCTCCCCCAGAATGCTCCTTATTGTGCAAATCAGACAGCTTGTCTTTAGGGTTCCCGGCCTGGCTCTCCAGCGTGAGCTGCAGGTCAGCGCCCTCTGCACTAGGAGGGAAGTCCACACCGTCACTAGAGCTGGGCACCTCCTGCTTGGGGTGAAAAGCTGGCATCTTTAAGTCAAGAGAAAATCTATGTTGTTCAGGACGTTTGGAAGTCTCTCTGCTACTGTTTTCAAGTATGGACACAGAAGTTGCAATCCCCACCTTGGACTCGCTGGTGTCTTTTCCTGGTAGGTTATTTCCAAGTTTGTGACTCTGGTCTCCGTTGGAGAGCACAGTGGATGCTGCCTCTTCCGAAGAGCAGCAGCGCCTCGGCTGTCCCCCTAGGATGAAAATGTAATAGGTGAAGTTACCATTTCTCCTCAGAATAGAACAAGACACAGGAAATCGAACAGTTCAGAGAAGCACAGCCAAGACGCACTGGCCTGGCATTCACAGAGAGGGTAGGGCAGGCAGCTCCTGGGTGGGCTCTGTTCTCAGCAGCTCTGCCAGAAGCCAACCAAACAAGAACCAGGCAATGCTACTTTGGGTGGGATTCTTTTTTTCAACCCATGGAAATGACTCAAAAGACTAAGGGGAAATGAAAATCCCTCCATATCTAGTTACATACACTACAGTAACAGAAGGTGACCAGTTACACTAAAAATTAGGAAACGAACTTCACTGACAGTAACCACTTCACACTCTACATGGCGAAGAACTCTCCATGTCAGGGTCTGCTAGGATCTGAGACCACTGCTAGTCATTCTAAGGTAAGAAAACCAGAGAAGAACCAGGTGTGGTGCTGCACACCTGTATCTCCAGTACTCTGTGAGGCTGAGTCAGGAGACAGCAAGTTCAAACTCAGTCTGGGCAATTTAGCAAGACCCCATCTCAAAATAAAAATGGGCTGGGCATATAATAGCTCAGTACAAAGGTCTTGGGTCCAGTCCCAGGGAAGAAGGATGGAGGAAGGGAGGGGGAAAAGCAGGAAAGGAGGGAATGAAGAAAAGAAAAAGGGGAGAGGGGAGGGGCTAGCGAGGCCAGCATGAGTGCTGGGCACACAGGCAGAACTAGGCACGGATCACTGCATGGAGGACTCCAGCCTCTGCCTCAGCAACTGCAGCCCACATCTGCCTAATCCAGCAGTGAACCCAGCCCTGGTCTTTCTCGGGAAAGCCAATCTGCAAGTTCAAAACCTTGACGCCAAGTACCTTCATTGGCCTGGGGTGACAGGACATCCATGCTAATTTCACCTCATCACCTGCACGTTGCAGTGGGGGTGAGCAGGGCCTGGCCAGAACCTGCCACTGGGGTCCTGGTGTGGGGCACTGTTCCCTTCACCCAAGAAGGGCCCAGCACGGTGCCAGCCACCAGCACCACAGCTTGTGAAGCTTCTCCAAAGTGAGGCAAGACAGCACTGCAAGGCCCACGGCACGACAACAAAGTGTGTTCCGGCCAGCCTTTATGACCTCAGGCCTATTCACACCCAGACAGCAAACTTCAGGAGGCTGGTCTGAAGTACAGAAAGCGAGAGAGATTCTCAGCACCAACAAACCCTCGGGGCCTTTTGTCTCACAGCTAGATCACTCTGGGCTGATTTCATGTTAGGTATCTGTTTTTGAGAAGCTCCAACATTAGTGGTTTTCTTCAAGTTTTTAACGTTCAGTCAAATGTAGGCATTTATAATGTTCTTTTAAAATGATGTTCCAAGTATATTTTTAAGGTAAGACTTAGAAATTCTACCAAATTAGTCCAAAACTCTCTTCCAAAGGTTCTTCGGTGGTGAAGCACCTGCCACAGAAGGTGCTAAACCCAGACAGGAAGGAGTAGGGGTACAAACACTCACTTTCAAGTATGAGACAGTCAGCGAGCCACTCGCAGGCAATTCTGAAGGGTTGTGTTCACAGGACAGTATGGCCAGGATGTGGCGATCAGTGTAGCTGACGAGCAGGTGGGACACAGGACGAAGTTACAGCCGGACTCCTGTCAGCGCCCACGTGCTGGTGTCCAGCCAGCGCCAGGTCTACCTGCCCGTCACGAGCGGGCATGGGCCTGACCCAGAAAGCACATGGGCGGCCCAGACAGCACCACTCACACAAAAGTGCACTTCACTTGGAATTAAACCTGGGCAAGGCAGTCTTATACTTCGTTTAACTCAAACTGACGCTCGTATTACATCTGTAAGTGTTCACAGAGACTAAGTAATATGGAGGAGACTCCCCTGACTAAAGGAATATGGATTGATGAAAACACAGGTCAGAAACAACTAGTTCATTTCCCAAGTGGAAACAGAAAGCAGTGTAACTCAGCACTGGGTGTAACTGCACTGGGTGTGGTTGGGGGGCAGGCATTCCAAGCATGATGGTCAAAATCCCCAAGTTTTATACCTCAGAGACGACTGGAACACAACAGAACATCTAGTGCCTCTGACCAAGACCCTACGTAACAAATTAAAAGTGAGCAGGGGCTGGGGATTTAGCTCAGCGGCACAGCGCCTGCCTGGCAAGCACAAGGTTGTAAGCTCAATTCCCGGTACTGGGGAAAAAAAAACAAAAACAAAACAAAAAAAAAAAAGACAAAAGTGAGCGACAGAATCCTGAGTTACCAAAGTGATCACTGGGAGTGAGTGACACGTCTTCAGAGGAGCGTCCAGCAGGACGACGGGTAGACTCTCCCACCCGTCGTGGAAAGGTGAGAGGCTGTGTGTCCCCACGATCTCCACGGAGGTGGGCACTGAGTGTTAGCAGGGGAAACTGCTAACAAAAGACTGGACTCCTCTGAGCAGTCACCTGCTCCGGGAGGAGGGTGAGGACAGGGAATGTGCGTAACAGGTAGTCACAGCCAGGGCCACACAACCATCATGCAGCGGAGATGCTTCCCCACCCAGGTGAGTGACACAGGACAGCAGCACTAGGTGGGTCCCTCATTAGCCATGCACCCCAGTCTCACTGTTCACAAAGCACTGACTTGCTTCCTTTCCGTATCTCAGCTCTACCACCCCCACCTCCAAAGTGTCCCGCTCAGGGTTTTAATCACAAGAAGCTCTACCGCCACATCCAGTGAGCTGTGCCAGCTGGTGCTATGCCACATGGCCAGTGCGGGTCACAGCAAGCCTAGAGTGAGGTGCTCCCAGGTGACCTGCCTCAGCTCTCTCTCCCCAGGTGCACAGTGGCACCACTCACTTCGCAAAGATCCACATACCACACACCCCAGGGGACGCTGTGCCAGGAAGAGGCCAGGGGCACCTGTACAAGGCTTCAATGTGCTTGGCGTCCACTCCTTTGAAGGCAATATCTAGGAGGCACTGGATCAGAATTAAACACAGGAAAAGCGCCCCAGAGCACAAAGCAGGTTTTCAGGGACAGCTGTAACCAGGAAGCTGGGGATGCATCTGGAGATGAGAAGACCCGGCTCAGACAGGCCTGGGACCCAACTGTGCACAGAGGAGGCGTGTTTGGCTCTGCATGAGGAGCCCTCATCTCCCGAGGAGCATACTGCACGTAAGACCCCTCACACAGGCCTTCACTGCACAGTAGGCATGGCCTGAGCTCATGGTCCCAGCAATAATGCAGGAAATCAACCCAGGCTTTCACTCCTAATTCTCCTCCAAACAGAACATTCCTGAATCAGGTTGCAGCTGACCTGACTGTTTCTCAAGCTAATGTTGGCCTCACTCATGGATCCACTCACTCCTGTGCTGGCTGAGCATCAATGTGTTAACTTGACTGGCCTGGGAGCTGCCCAGGAAATTAGTAAAACATACTTCTGGATATGTCTGGATGGGTCATGGGGTCATGACCCCGGGGACTACATCTGGCCGTCTGCCCCTGAAGGCCACTCTGGCACTGCTTCCTGGCCACCACTAACTAAGCATCTTGGTTTTGCCAGGCCCCTCCACCATGATGTTCCTGCTGCAGAGCCAGTATGGGCTGGACCTCTGCAACTGTGAGGCAAATAAACCTCTCCTCTTTCTGGGTCCTGGGGCCTCTGGTGGGCGCAGACACACAGTGGTGCTGCTAAAACACAGAAACTCAGGGACTACAGAAAGCTGTCTTCTCCCACACAACGACTGCCAGGGTTTCACAGGCAGTCTGGATGCAGGTTTTTGATTCTTCAGTAAGGCCCTCCATTTCTGGTGTGTACATGTGCCTCTTCTTTTCCTTCTCACTAAAACCCAACCAGAGGAGACGCTGTTGCACGGACGCCCTCATGAGGCAGGGTGGCACAGAACTGCCTGGGCTCTGGTGACACTCACGAGGATGACCATGGGGAACAGCCTACAGCCCCTCGAGCCTGGACTACCCCTGGGCCTTCACTCAAGCCCTCCACACATCTGAGGAAGCCACCAGTGCCAGGGTGTGGAGTCCCGGCCAGCCTGGGGATGCTGGCTGCTCCTCCCCTCTTCTGTTCACTTACCTTTGCACCTAGGTAGCAGCCACTCAGTCTGGCAAACCGTCAGACAGGCTGCTTTCCACACTCTATACAAGACGGTTTTTCCTGCCTAACTTGTGTGTCCAAATATAAAATAAGGAACTTTCACATTTCCTTGCTGTGCTATTTTGCCTCACACAGGCCACCACTTATCTCCATAAATAACTTAATTGAAAACCAGAAAGGGTTTTCTGACCATCCAGCCTTTCTCGGGGTCTGAGGAACGTCGAAGATCCCACTCAAGGGTGTGGTGACTGCGGTGCACAGCCCTGCGGGGATGAGGGACACTGAGGTGGGGAACTGGATCCCGACCACTGCATCAGTGGAGAGGAGCGAGTGTCTGAACAAGTAACTGAAAGGCCTCCTCCATCAGTGGCATATCTGATGAGACCCCAGGCTGGTGAGAGAAGGGGGAACGGGGAGAAAATGATAGTATGTTTTTGAAAGGTTAAGAAAAGGTAAGAAATGAAAACCATTAAGACTGCACTGGGAAGGAAACAATCACCATCACCTTTCTTTTCTTCTTTTTTTTCTTTGAGACAGGGTCTCACTGTGCAGTTCAGGCTGGCCTTGAGCCCACTTTGTAACCCAGGCTGGTCTCAAACTTGCAACAATCCTCCTGCCTCAGCCTCCCGAATGCTGGGATTACAGGCGTGCGCCACCACGCCCAGCATCACTGAGATTCTTAAGACAAGAAGACAACAACCAGCAGGAACACTTTTCCTGTGGACACAGGAGTCTCTGTCCCTGGGCCAGGGCCCCAAAAACGGCCTGATCAGGGTTATCATGGAGAGATCCTTTAATTCACAACTGCTCATGTAGTCTCTTATAAGGAGTTTTATTTAGTTGTGAATTTTTTAACTCTTCTTCATGGTAACTTCCTTTCAAATGGAAAATTAAAGGCAGCCTG